AATGTATGAACAACAAGTGATGTGAAACTCAAAATATGTATATCTTATGTCGACTATATGTTAGATATTTCTATTACACGCGTTGCATTTTTTGTTGGCCTATTTATAAGATATTACACTGGATCAAGAGTGGATATCTATGCTGATTTTATCAAAATCTTTGACCCATAGAGAACAGACAGAGAAAAGAAGAAAAAGAAAAAAGAAGATTGTGATCCCTCTTTATCAACTTCCATGTCCAGCCTATGTAAAATATTCACTCCTACATGTTTTCATGACTCAATCCAACTGCATCCCCGTGTCTTTACCACCCCTGTTCTGTTCATCAATTCTCTCACATTAGCTGCTTCTTCCCATTGCCCAGCAGCTGCATAAATACTTGCCAAAAGCACATAAACAGTTGGATTATTTTGTTCAGTTTCAAGGAGAAATCCAGCAACTGTTCTTCCTAGCCTTAAATTACCATGTGCTGCACAAGAACTGATTAGTGTCCACCAAATATTTGGATGTGCTTTAATATGCTTGCTGTTTATTACCGTTTCCGCCTCATCAAGATACCCAGCACGACCTAGAAGGTCAACTATACAAGAAAAGTGATCTACTTGAGGCATAAAGCCATAATCATTAATCATGGAATTGAAAATTCGGGTACCATCAACGACTAAACCGGAGTGGCTGCAAGCGGAAAGGACTGCCGTGAAGGTGGCCTGATCTGGTTTGACTGCAGCGGAGTCTTGCATTGCCTCAAAGCAGCGCACAGCTTCATTTCCTTGCCCATGCTGTGCATATGCTGATATCAGGGAATTCCAGGAGACTGTATCCTTTTGAGGCATCGCATTGAACACTCTTACTGACCAATCTATAACCCCGCATTTAGCATACACCGTAATGAGGGTGTTACATAAGCACATCTGGGGGGAAAACCCAAATTTGAGAATGTAGCCATGAACTTGTTTTCCATCTCTCAAGGCTGATATGCTTGCACAAATGCTCAAAATACTAGTTAATGTACACACATCTGGCCTGTGTTCTGACATTAGCAGTTTC